AAATATTTTTCCACAAATATCTAAGCTGTTCTGGAATAAGAAAAGATAGCGAAATATTTAAGATTTTAAACTTATTTCAGCTACCATAATGAACATTCTTAGAGATAAATAATGTCTGGCAGTAGAATCCAAGGCACACATTTCGTCCTATTTAGGACTCGTCAGCTAGGTGTACTATCATCCATTTCTCCCAGTAATGCTAGTATCCTAAATACAATTGTAGTGAAGGAGAATACAGGTGAGGGCGACCGAATTGTATTTAACGAAAATTACAGAGTTACTCAGTAAAATAGGAAAACCATATCGTAAAAGGTTAATTTGTAAATCTTCAATCCATCATCAATCCATTGTCTGACATTTCACTATTCATGTGTTTCATACTAATTCCATTGTGTTCCCATTCTTTGTTTCTTGATCTTCCCCCATCTTCTGTTGCCAGACATTACGTTTTCACTCGCATTATATACTACTTATAAGTAGCGCGCACCACACAATATCAAGAGATAATAATACTATTCGATTATTTATACATGTAAGTAATGTTTTTTTTCATTCAACTCCAACTGTCTGATAATCAATCTAGTTGCATTTGTTTTTGACAGATTAATTCTCATTGTAAATTCAGCTATATATAACACGTGATTTATTGGGATTTGATTAACCGATGATAAATACTCACTCACTCACTCACTTACACTCGATTCTCACATAGACAAACTAGATAATATTCCATAGTAATAATATCTGTCAAAATTTTTCAGTCAGTGAAAAAAAAATTTATCGAATAAGTACTACTAAACTGAATAATATCAAGAAGCAATAAGTCAAAATCAGAATAGCGCATACAAACAACGTACATAAAACGTACGTAAAAAAAATTGAGGACTATAGTTAAATTCTGAACTGCTTTCTTTTTTTTTGGTGTTTTAGAAAAAAGAAAGGTTGATAAAAAAAATCAGTATTTCCCAGTGTAAAACTATGCAAACTATTATTATTGATTAATATGTCAAATAATTAGATTTACGGTGGTTATTTATCTATCTATTGATTTGAAAAGTAAAAAAATTTCATAACTGATGATGATTTCGTTGAAAAAATGGTATACAACTGAAATTTACACTTGTTCGCTATTCATAGATGAAAATGATTAATTAACTCTTGGAAAAAAGTTATTCAGTTACAACGTATGAAACAATGTCAAGTAACAATCAATGAATGCTACTAGTTGCTAAGTCAAGGCACACAACTAGTAACTCTGAAAGTAGTTTGCAAATAACTGGATGTTAACTAGATGATTTAAGGATCCTACACATGGACCTACGTAGGGTTATAATGAGTACGGTTTAAGAGTCTTAGATCAGGACAAAAACAGAAATGTAATAATTGCAGGCTTTCAATGGTTGTCTAACTAATGCAGGCCATTTATCGAAGCTGTGTAATTGAATAATCTACAAAAATCACTTTGCATTCATACTATTTACCAGAGTGTAACATCATATAAAGATTCAAAAGAGGTGCGGATACTTGGATGACGTAATTGTTGGAGTGTCAAATGACTTTAATGAAGAATTAATCGTGGTGTAAATGATATGATACAAAAGCTAAAAACTGGTGAGCAACAGATATGACTCAAATAAATTACTGTTTTTGAAAGGATGAATGGTGTGAAAGTACAAGTCAAGTCAACAACAACAACATAGAACTTCGTACGTACGTACATCAGTTCAAGTTGACATACCACATTAGTACAGAGACACAATTGTCAGTTCAAATCCAATTGTGATAGTGGTAGTAAAAGTATTAGAACTAATCAGAAATTTTAGGGTTCGACGATATTATTCAAAAAGTAGAATCTATTGAAATGTACTAAAAAGAAAACGATAAAGGTGATGAGGAACTCTGAAGGTCAGGATTTGAGAGAACACAAAGAGAGGATGCACTTGCGCCATTGCATACGATTCTGAACAATGTCATTCAGGGTCTCTAACCATCGATTAATATCATCTCGTGGACGTCAACACCTACCGACATGACTCAATTTACTTGCCAGTGACTTCATGGATTCGCGCCATGTCTCGGTCTGGCCACCCCTAGCTTTCTTCCAACCTATTCTTACATCAAAAAACAAAGCTCGACGAGTCGATCGGTGGTTAGGCATACGAAACACATGGCGTAACCACCTCAACTGATGAAGTTTTAATACTTCATCTATTGATCTGTCACCTTTACCTAGGACCCGTTTCTCTACTCGGTTGACCAAGGATACACAAGCAATGAATTCAAAAGACACTGTCGATTGAAAAAAATTGTATGTGCGAAAAATGTTGAGCAGTAAATTCACTACCTTCTTCAATACTTATTATTCTTACTTTACAAGTCTTTTAAGCAAACTAGTTATAAGAAATGATATATTAATTCTAGAAATCCAAAGAACATACCCGGCTTACTATCAAGCAAATGAAACATAAGGTGAGTAAACATCTCTGTCCACAGTTTGAAAAGGGTAAGATTAAAACAATACACACTTTTATTCTATGATACTTCGTCGACAGTGATCATATGTAGTTGAAACTAAATTATGTATAGTAATCCATTGTACACCTTTATTTTTTGAAAGAGGTTATATCCTATTTTCTAAATTAAGCAGAAATCATAAGATTTGAATTTACAACCTTAGTTTATGTATTGAGAAGAAATTTGTTGCAGTGATATTCTCATTAGTGGGCTGGATATGGTTTAAAAAAAACAATTTTCCAACTATATTTACTATTATTGTTATTTTTTATATCCTTTGTTCGTTTGTTCTTCTTCAATTCTTTGTCCTGTACATTCTTTATAGTCCAATTATTTGAAATTTTTTATTTTATTTTAATAATTTCTATCCATTGTTCTTTTCAATGCTGAAACGGTGTTATCGTTTATATATAACCTTACTATCAGTTTGTACTTCATATTTATTATTAGTAGAATTGGATGGTAGGTAGCAGCATGATCCAGGATACGTATCTCCTTTTATTTGACAATCATCAGCTGGATGCACTGATGCCGCAGAGTTGATACTTAGCCCAGAACTCAAACTCAGTATGGATCACCTCAAACACCACTTATCTACTGATTCTACATAACCACTGGCTTCTGCAATGGGTCGAATTGTAATCTATTTGTACTGATTATCTGAATCTATCCATTGATGTTTAGGACTACAACTGATTGATGGAAAATTCAAATAACCAACGTTGAAGGCATCTAACAATTAGCTTCACAAATGAAGTTCTTGTTGGTCAGATCTAATTGATATGACATGGTTGGAATATTTAATAAATTATTGTCTATGTCAAATATTCATATCTTTTTTATGGAAGGTGACCAATATTATGAATCATACAACATGGCAATTGTTATCGTTAACTGATAGATCGATTGGAGATAACAGTGTTTGAATAAGGTAGTGAATGATATGAATTCAAATCTACATATGACCATAGATTCTTTTAGGATTGAAAGTAATCACTTGTAATGGGGTTATAACAGTAAAAAAGCCTGTCTTTGTATTCGAGCCCATTGGTTACATTTTCCTATTATGAGACTAATTTTGATTGGTCAGGGCAGAGTGAACACTTTGATCTCAATACTACTCGATTATTTTTAAAAAATTCACAAAGAATAGATATAATTTTCAAATATTTATAGATAATAAAAACTTTTGAAATGAAACAAAGTTTTTATTCTATTCGATTCCATCTACTCGTTCGTTACTTTAGTCAAGAACAAATTCATCTTGTAGCATAAATCTAGTCGTTTTAATTTCCTTATAGTCATGAAAATAATTAAATTTTTCTTGGAAAAAAACGATTGATTCACGTATTGAAAGCTTCCGCGTAAATGAAGAGAAAAGAACACATAAATCATTGACTATTGAGTAGAATATGATAACTGTTAACTGACTAGTGACTTTGAAAAGTTATTTAGTTTGTTATTATTATTAGCTTAGATTATGCGACTAATACGTATTCTAAATGATAATAGAAGTCATATCGTTGTATATCTCATCAGAATAGCTAGGAGCGGGCAAACCAAAACATGGCATAAATTCATGAAGTGACTGACAACTGGACTGAGCCATGTTAATAGGTTTAGACTACCTGGTTGGGGTCCACGAGATGATGTTTGGAAACTTTGAAAATCGTTTTGCAATGGTGCCAATGAATCCATCCTTTGTGTTCTCTGAAATTCTAATCTTCAGAATCTCTCATAATTTTATTTTCCTTTTTAATCTGATTCCACTGAGATATACATCTCAAGTCATAGTTTTGATCCCTAGTCTTTTTAACTACCGCTAATACTTCTACTACCTCCTCTACTACTATGGGATTTGAACTGATAATTCAATCTCAGTGTGTTGATGTTGTATAGCATCTTGAAATGATATACGTATGTACGAAGTTCAACATTGTAGCTGAATGACTGATGTAGCATCAGAGTAGCCTTTAAAAATACAAGATATTCCTAAGTTATTAGTATTTGATGATTGATACCTATGAATCGTTTCTCGGATTTTTTGAAACCACACAAGAAACAATGTAGAGATTAAATTCAAGATACTAGTAAAAGATGAAATATTGAATGAGAAGGTGAATTTACTAAGTATACTTGTCTTGACATAAGTAGGAATAAGTTGAGATAGAAATCTAGGAGCGATATGAATAGTATATACTATCAGTTCATGAAATCGTTGACATTTGAACCAAGCCATACATACACCTTGAGACCGCTTGATTGAAGTCTGTATCTTAACTAATAGTTAAACACTTTGAATAACGTGCTCAGAATAAACCACAGTAGAACAGATACATTCACTCTTTGCCTTCCTTCAGACGTACATGTATGTCAAGTTTCATGTTGCACACAAAAAGTGAAGTTTTCTTTTTGATTAGTCTTTTAAATGTGTTTTATTTTCACAAATTTAAAAAGAACGACAATTCAATTAAATCTTTGCTTACTTTGATGGCAATTCTTCTTCACCATCTCCTTGACCTGGTAAATCAATATGAATCCATGTGGATCGTTGCATAATTGGAAGCATTTTTGAATGTACCATAAATTCTTCATATTGATAATCTGAAATTTTGATAAATAACAAATCAAAATAGTGAATCAATCAATCCTTGCATCTATACGCTTTTTGGGAAAGATAACTGATGATGACATTATACGATGAAATAACTAAAATCCATCATCATGGTTTGAACAATACAATACAACTATTTTGAGCAACAAAACTGTGATTAAATCATTTTATATGAGCAGTTATTGAATTAACCTCATAGTATCTTCGAAAACTAATCGAAAAAAATTGAAATTATTGGGTTGGTATTCTTAAGAGCAAGTATATGTCGACCTTACGTTCGCTAAGTCAGTTCCTAAATGTTACAGCAGCATAAACTATCTGTTACTTTACAATAACAACTATTAAGCTGCCAAAGACAGAAATCAAAAAGACGGAAATAGACAAATTGATAAAGAAAGATGCAAGAGAAATGAACTATTCTAAAACAATGAAACCTTTAATACCTAAACATTTTAGTGGTTCAGTTTATTCTTGTTTGTTATATCAGATAGTCTCCCAGACAAAATATGACCTAACTAGTGAATGTTTAAAACATGTATCTTTATAATCAAAAGTTTTTCAAATAATTAAAATTATGGATATACAGCAGTTATTCCGAAATTTCTTCGAAAAATGTAATCCAAGTTAATTAAACACATTTTAATATATGTGAATTTAGATACCGAATGGAATGTAATCTCTAATTACAAAAATACAAAATGAAACACAACTTAAAAACATATTTTTTTCATTACATAGAAAATGTATTAATGATGTGCACGTAGTACACAATATTAGACAAATAATCAGATAAGATGTCATATAAAAACGATTGGACAAAGTAAACTTTTCAACCAGTGATGAAAGTAAAGTACACTTAAGGTATGAACAGAAATTATCTTCAAGAAAAAATAGGGAAATATAAAAACTTGCATTACAGGGTTGTGAAGATTGTTAGGTTACACATTTTTGAAAACTGTTGTTAAGTATTACTTATAATAACTAAACGATTTCATATTCATTTAAGACTATACACGTTTCCATGATTGTTTTGACACTAAGAATCAAACATTGTAGTCATTACTGGGGACGTTAGGTCCCCAGAATTCACTTGGACAAAGTCCTAATTTTTTAATTTTATCCTGAAGTTTTGAATTTCATTGTTTTCGCGCTAAAGACGCTTAGCTTACATTTCCCACTCGGAAAATTCTTGACTGTCATTGGTTGATGGGTTATTTTAGAACGCTATTCTGTGGCTCTCACCAAGGGCGTTTTATCAGTTGTATAAATAAGCTTGAGTTATTTACTTGGTAACCTCAACCTTTCTGGGTGCCTGTAGAATACATTCTCTATGCCTTATCAAGACTTCTTGCTCTAGTTAGCAGAGCCTAAAACAATCGGATTAGAATAGCCTATCGTGTCACTGAATCATTTATCTGCGCTCCGTTTACCGAGTACGGTGAACTCGTAATAGTTTCATGCATATCATTCACCTATAAGAATGTTTGTCCATATTTGAACGAATAGGCTGACAATAGAATTTTCACGTATATTTTAATAGTCCTTTATAAGCAGAAATATTTGCATTCACTAAAGTGTTACCAAGTGGTATAAATATTTTTCATATGTTTTGTGTTCATACTGAACCACTAAGCAATGTTCATTTAAGACCACAGAAAGAACTAAACTAAACATCTTCAGGTTTTTCGGCATATCCTTAACTTTCAGACTGTTTGATCAGTAAGTATCTAATGGTTTGCATTTCCTAATTTTAAATAATTCACAATATTACTCAACCATTTTCTAATGCCATTGGTAAATGACAACCTCAGTCCCGAAATGGCTGATTGCAATTAGAAATAATATAATTTATTCATCAACAGGCATTGAAAGGAAGCAGTGATTTGCTTTAATTTACAGTTGCCCTTAAAATTAATTCCAAACTATCAACACTCTATTCAGATTAGACTAGACTAGACGAATGAACTACTGTTTAGTAAAGAATGTCAACATCATCTGTTCAACATAAAGCATTCCCACTTGTAGTGATAATCCAACATTCAACTACATAAAACATAGACTGGCATAAATATGTAACTAAATAGTATTTAAAAAATATCCTAATATTGGTACTTTTTATTACAGACTTTTGATAAAACAAACCTTATTTCTTTAAAGTTTACACATACATATTTACATACATATATAAGTAATTTAAATAAGATCACCACTTGTAATAGTTTACAGTGTAATCGGAATTATCTACACACACACACATAATAATAATCATGATGACAATAATTGAGTTATTTTGTTTTATCTCGTTGAAATGATTAGAAAAACTAAAATACAATTCAAATTAAACTGAAGTGGAAATTGGCAAATAAAATCAGGCGTATAATGACAGTTTGTGAAAACAACTTACTCAGATAAATATATATATATGTATTTACGTATACATGAAGACTATCTATCAGTCAAGTGAGCAAAAACAATCAATGTAAATATCATTGGAAGAGATTGTGAACACACACAGAGTGAGTATAATGAATACTGATGTTCTGTTTTTGTAAAAAATCAGAGTATTATGCAAAGAAACAGACACTCTTGTATTTGGAAAAAAAAATTTGATGAGATACGTAGAGAAATATCACAGAGATATGTCGAAAAACAAAAAAAAAGAAAAAGAAATATCAACAATGTCCAAAATTTGGTAGATGAGAGTTGTTGTTTAAAATAATTCCACTTGAATGCATAGCTTGTTATGCATACAAGACAAAATTAAAACTCAATCAAAGAATGATTTTAAACAATTTTTCAGTTTGTTTAATGAATGTTTTTTTTAAAAAAATATTTATTCATCATAATAATATGATTGTTGAATTAAAAAAATAAAATAACCGTGAAATTTAGGGCATATATATGCTTTTATATCCTGTTCAGTATATTATTTCAGACAGATTAGATGTAGTATTTGAATAACAATGTTGATGTTTATATTGAGACTTAGATTCAATACTTATTTTATGCATGTTGAAATCATTGTTAGACCAGCATTACGAACTTGGAGGCACTGAAAGACTGGTGTTTCGTCCTGATATGGGACTCATCAGCAGTACGCATCCACGATACCTGCACCTCGCAGGATTCGAACCGGGAAACTTTGGTCTTAAGCGCGAACGCCTAACCTCCGGACCACTGGATAGGTGTTAATGTCTGATGAGTCCCATACCATGACGAAACGGCCGTCTTTCAGTGCTTTCAGGTTTCTAATGGTGTTCTAACATTGGCTGATTGATGATTTCATTATGCAATAAACACTAGTCTCCGCAACTCTGATTGACAAATCAATACTTATTGTTTAAAACGAAATGTTTCAACTTGGTATGTAATATTTTCTTGCATTTGAATAGTCTAACAGCATAACACATCGAATCTACACTTAGATAGTTAAAGTCAGTCGGTCGATAGCTATAAGCTAAAGTTTTCTAATAATTGAGATTGTTTTAAGCGACAAAAATTTCCTTCTTTAAAGAAAAAACTATTAACATTACTTCAAAAAACCTTGAATTAATAATGTATACATTTTAATCATATATATTCTGCTGATACGCTTATAGATTGTAATATTCACATCAATAATTAATGTTGTTGTAGTTACAATAACTACAAATTATTTTACCATGTTAATTATCATAATATTACATGGAAAAATATTTGTTTTGTTAAATATATTTCTCAATGTGTTACACCTATTTCTTTTTCTCATGAATGTAATGAAAGAATAAACTTAACATAAAAATTCACAGATTTACTTTTTCAAATCTAAGCATCGACTATTATCATAAGTTCATTGTTGACCAGTCAGTGTGTACAAAATTTAAAACAATAAATAGGTGCTAGTTAAAGCTATTTTTATGATTTAAATTGTTCTACTATCCCTGTGATTTGAACTAACAGTTGCGTGTCTGTGTTGATACAGAATGGCAACCTGAACTTATGTACTCATGTAAGAAGTTGTATGTTGCAATTGATTGACTGATTATCCCTTTAAAGGTCAAATATTTATCATCAGTAATTTAATTGAATAATGTATTCTTTTTGATGAATGAACGTTTATATATTAACATATATGATTCTTGGATATATCTATATGTCAAGAAGACTGAATGATACTATCTGATTAACCAAATTGAAGTATGTACTGTTCTTTAACTGAGCATTCAATGTCAGTCCATCAATTTAGTTTTATAAAGAATTAAAATTACTATAGAGTTGTGGAAATTGTTGAGTTTGACTGAAATCATAAGCCGACCAATTTCGGACCACCATTTCTGGGAATCCACGACACCGCAGATGGGAATCGAGCTCAGAGCATAATGGTTTTGTGCAGTAATATTTAACCTGTATATCAGTTATTCGGTATCCAGTGCTGCTAATGTCTAACTTAAATCGATCTAACATCTACTGTCTTCAGAAGGTATCTGCCGCATATTCGACACGGTTGACCTACACTGGTCATTATAACTAGAACTCTAAGAATCCCTTAGCCAAGCTAGTCATCGACTATTTCATGATAAATATTGATTTAGAGTTGTGGCAGTTGTAAGGGTAATTTATGCTCAACATAGAAATGGATTTGTAATGTCGTCCTGCTTCCCAATTAATCGATATTTAAATGTGCATTATTTGTTAAATATGCTTGTAAACTGACTACGATTATACTCATTTCTACTTTCAAATTTATCTAGAGATATTTCTAATAACTAATCGTCATCATTTGCATTTACTTCTGATCGAAATATTTATTATTTCATTCACTTTGTATTTTCGTCCTGATTCGTTCATATTTGAATTCATCATTTCAAAGAATTTACCTAAATAAAATGCTTTCTTTTTTTGCTTTGACTTATTAAAAGAGTCATAGATAATAAAAGGACAAGGACTTACTTCTGTGATATGGTTTGATACAATGCATGTTATTTGAGTAACATTTTTTAATAAAACCTTA